CTTCTTCTTCTTCTTCTTCTTCTTCTTCTTCTTCTTCTTCTTCTTCATCTTCTTCTTCTTCCTCTTCTTCATCTTCATCTTCATCTTCATCATCTTCTTCTTCTTCCTCTTCTTCTTCTTCCTCTTCTTCTTCTTCCTCTTCTTCTTCTTCTTCTTCTTCTTCTTCTTCTTCTTCTTCTTCTTCTTCTTCTTCTTCTTCTTCTTCTTCTTCTTCTTCTTCTTCTTCTTCTTCTTCTTCTTCTTCTTCTTCTTCTTCTTCTTCTTCTTCTTCTTCTTCTTCTTCTTCTTCTTCTTCTTCTTCTTCTTCTTCTTCTTCTTCTTCTTCTTCTTCTTCTTCTTCTTCTTCTTCTTCTTCTTCTTCTTCTTCTTCTTCTTCTTCTTCTTCTTCTTCTTCTTCTTCTTCTTCTTCTTCTTCTTCTTCTTCTTCTTCTTCTTCTTCTTCTTCTTCTTCTTCTTCCTCTTCTTCTTCTTCTTCTTCTTCTTCTTCCTCTTCTTCTTCTTCTTCCTCTTCTTCTTCTTCTTCTTCTTCTTCTTCTTCTTCTTCTTCTTCTTCTTCTTCTTCTTCTTCTTCTTCTTCTTCTTCTTCTTCTTCTTCTTCTTCTTCTTCTTCTTCTTCTTCTTCTTCTTCTTCTTCTTCTTCTTCTTCTTCTTCTTCTTCTTCTTCTTCTTCTTCTTCTTCTTCTTCTTCTTCTTCTTCTTCTTCTTCTTCTTCTTCTTCTTCTTCTTCTTCTTCTTCTTCTTCTTCTTCCTCTTCTTCTTCTTCTTCTTCTTCCTCTTCTTCTTCTTCTTCTTCTTCTTCTTCTTCTTCTTCTTCTTCTTCTTCTTCTTCTTCTTCTTCTTCTTCTTCTTCTTCTTCTTCTTCTTCTTCTTCTTCTTCTTCTTCTTCTTCTTCTTCTTCTTCTTCTTCTTCTTCTTCTTCTTCTTCTTCTTCTTCTTCTTCTTCTTCTTCTTCTTCTTCTTCTTCTTCTTCTTCTTCTTCTTCTTCTTCTTCTTCTTCTTCTTCTTCTTCTTCTTCTTCTTCTTCTTCTTCTTCTTCTTCTTCTTCTTCTTCTTCTTCTTCTTCTTCTTCTTCTTCTTCTTCTTCTTCTTCTTCTTCTTCTTCTTCTTCTTCTTCTTCTTCTTCTTCTTCTTCTTCTTCTTCTTCTTCTTCTTCTTCTTCTTCTTCTTCTTCTTCTTCTTCTTCTTCTTCTTCTTCTTCTTCTTCTTCTTCTTCTTCTTCTTCTTCTTCTTCTTCTTCTTCTTCTTCTTCTTCTTCTTCTTCTTCTTCTTCTTCTTCTTCTTCTTCTTCTTCTTCTTCTTCTTCTTCTTCTTCTTCTTCTTCTTCTTCTTCTTCTTCTTCTTCTTCTTCTTCTTCTTCTTCTTCTTCTTCTTCTTCTTCTTCTTCTTCTTCTTCTTCTTCTTCTTCTTCTTCTTCTTCTTCTTCTTCTTCTTCTTCTTCTTCTTCTTCTTCCTTCTTCTTCTTCTTCTTCTTCTTCTTCTTCTTCTTCTTCTTCTTCTTCTTCTTCTTCTTCTTCTTCTTCTTCTTCTTCTTCTTCTTCTTCTTCTTCTTCTTCTTCTTCTTCTTCTTCTTCTTCTTCTTCTTCTTCTTCTTCTTCTTCTTCTTCTTCTTCTTCTTCTTCTTCTTCTTCTTCTTCTTCTTCTTCTTCTTCTTCTTCTTCTTCTTCTTCTTCTTCTTCTTCTTCTTCTTCTTCTTCTTCAATACTTCGAGCATTTTTTATTTTAATTTGGCCTTTTCTTCTTTTGATTAGGGAATTTTTGATAGATGACTTTTCCTTTTTCTTCGGTATATGAGATTTTTTTTATTAGGTTTTTTTGTGTAATGAGACTCATTTTCTTCCAATTTTCAAATTTTTATTCTACATATTGGGTTTCAAAATTTTTTCACCAAAAAATCTTGGTTTTTAAGCAAGAGTTTTTGGGTAGGTTTCTTCCTTGTGTTGATGTATTTCGGGAATGTGGGTCAAAAGCCAGCTTATTCCCATGGATGAGCAAAGTTTTATAATTCTTAGGTGTGGAGGGTAATAGGGAGTGGAACTTTTATATTGTTGGTAAATTTTCATGATTTTTTCTGGAATTATAGATTGGATTGGGCCTATTTGATGAAACCAGTCGACAAACCAATTGGGTAAGGTGTTAGGTAATTCTTTTTTGAACCAGATATACCATGAATGCCTAGGGTTGGTATCAAATAATATTTTGTTCCAGGCTTCTTGGTAATCAAAATAATTATAAGAATGGGGGTCAAAGGGTATCGAAAAGCTCTTATCAGTGAAAGGATGTTGGTTCCATTCTTGGTATGAGAGGATTTTAATAATTCGTAGTTTTGAATAACTAATAATAGAGGGATCTTTTCATTAGGGATAGGGGTTATTTCTACAGATCTGATGTCTATTAGGATGAACTGATAGAACCTTTTATTCTTTTTTAAATTTTCTAATTTAGGAATCCAACTCCATCTTGGAGGAGCTAATTTCTTGAGTATTCCATAAATGTCTCCGGGGTTCCAGTCTTCTTCTAAGATAATAATTTTCTGGCATCCTTCTTTAATACGAAATTCCTTTTTTGGAGTTTTTCAGTGGGAGGTTGTTGAGGGATTTGTGGTGTTAGGATGGTGAATCTATTTTGTTGGATGGTTATTGATGTGAGAAGTTTTCGAGTGGTCATGATTTTAAAGTATGAAGGGACAAAGTCATCTAAGGACAGGGTAGAGGACTTTGGGCCTTTTTCTGTTTTAGTTTTTAAGCCGAAGCTGGGTTTTTAGAGGGGATTGTCATGGGTGTGGCCCTGCAAAAATTATCTTGTTAGAAAATCAGGTATCAAATTTTCTTTTCCTTTAATAAATTCTATATCAAATTCAAAACAAGATAATAGGTTTTGCCATCTTACAAATATTTATTTAGAAACTATATTTTTTATATCCTTTTCCAAAACTTCTTTTGTAGATTTATAATCAATTCTTAATAAAAAAAATTGTTTATTAAATCATGTTGAAATTTTTCTATATTTAAAACTCTGCCTTTTTAATGGTGTTGTAATTCTTTTGAGCATCATTCCATATTCCCGAGTGGTATCTAATTATTTGTTCGAGGTTATTTTTTAACTCTTGTTTTAGTATGCCCTCGTATCCTAAATCGAAGCATATGTTTCTATTATTATCTTGGCTTCTGGATGTGGGATTCCTAGGCATAGTAAGGACTTAACTAACCCTTTAACCTCTACTACTATTTTGGTCATATATGAAGTCCATAGTTTGGGGTTTTCCTGAGTCTATTAAAGAGGGTTTTACACCATGTTCTAATGTTGGGTATAAAAGCTAATACATAGTTTAGGCAACCTAGAAATCTTTCATTATAGTTCCTCGATTTATTTCATGCCCTAAAAATCTTATTTGGGTCTGGGCCAGTTTTATTTTCTTTTGTGATATTACCATTTCATTTGCTTTTATAAGATTTTTAAATATTCTTAAATATTTTTTATGTTGTTCGATTGATTCAGAAAATATTAATACATCATCAATATAGATGATGACGAATTTAGAGTAGGGGTTTAATATGTCATTCATTATTTTTTAAAATTCAGAAGACGCATTTTTTAATCTCATAGGCATTATGTCCCACTCATATTACCCAAATGGTACTATGAAGGTTATTTTGTATTTATTTTGTTCTTTTAGTTTTATTTTATAATATCTGCTTTCATATCAAATTTAGAAAATATATTGGCATTATAAATTCTACTTATTAGTTCAGTTTTATTAGGCAGGGATACCTAATCTATTTTAAGACCTTATTTATGGGTTTATAATTTATTATCATTCTTGGCTCTCCTCTTTCTATTTCAAAGACATTTTGCACGTAAAAGACACCACAACTCCATGAGAATTTGCTAGGTCTAATAAGTTTTTTTATCTAAGAAAGATTTTATTTCTTTTCTACAATATTCTAATGTTTCTTTATTTAATTATACTTGGTCTTGCTTTGGTAGGAATATTATTTTCCTAGAATCCTTCTTTGTAAGGTAATTCTATTTAAAAAGTGTTTCTATTCCAAAAAGCTGTTGAAACTTCTGCACATATTTCTTTTATGATTTCTTCTTCAATATTTTTAAATGTTGTTATAATTTCAAGATTTTTTAATTGTTCTTCAATTCTTTTGTATTTAATTTCTTGTTTTAGATATTTTATATGACTAGTCTTAGCTTGTATTTTTAATAGGAAATTTTCTTCATTTACTTTGGTAACTAATTGTTTTTTTTATTGATTTAACAAATTCAAATAAAATATTTTGATGTTTTATTCCCTTTTCGATACTTCAAAAGGATATATTAACGTGAAGTTTCTAAAATGATTTTCTCACTTGATATTAGTATAAAAGTATTTTTAATATATATATATATATATATATATATATATATATTACAACTTCTCTTAAAATAAATAAAAAATTTATATTAAAATCATTTTATCCAACTTCTTCATTGTATATACATATTTTATAAAATGACTTATTCAATTTCGTAATCTTTTTAAAATTTATTCATTTTTGAGAATTTAAAAATAAAATTATACCATTTACTTAAAAAACCCGAAACTTTTATATTTATTTAACTATTGGTTACTTGTTTGATGCTAAAAATTGTTGAAAAATGATACTTTGACAACCCAATTTTATACAACTTTAACAAACAACCCACTTTTAATATTATAATAATAATTTTAACTTGTTTTCATTTTTATTTAATTTCTTTCATGATTATTATATTAATAAAATAGGTTGTTTTTTGAGTTATTTGTTATTAAGGGTGTCAAAATATCATGAACCAAAATTGTTTACCCTCCATTTTCGTGGGAGGAGTTTTCTTTAACACTGTTCCTCCAGTAAATATAAAATTGAAGAGTTCAAAATAGAGACTAGAGAGGCAGGGTATATACAACACAATATTCAAACCGAGGTGAGACTCTCCATGAATGGAAGGCCATATATATTGCTCTCTCTTTATCTTCACTTTCCAGACTCCACATAAAGTTGTGCATAGAACCTCCTTGTTCTGTGAGAAATGACCGAGCTCAAAGAAGCAGCACACAAGCAAACCAGTGCCAATATTCCACACGTGAGGGAGAAGCAAATGTTTCCCTCGCAAACAAGTAACTCATTGTTATTTGCAGTGACATAATAAGGCATTGCCAATTTGGTGGCTCCAACAATTCGGTGCTTTGCTTGTTGCTCTGCATAGTAGTCATATATGGTGCTTGCCATAAATCCAGACAAGAAGAGAGACCCTGCTGGGCTAGCCATGGTGAGAAAATTGTACAAAGTTCCAAAGTTTTTCACACCAAATAGCTCAGAAGCTGCTGCTAAAGCAATAGACCAGTGAGCACCATACCCAAAGCCGTTCGATATGCCCACCACGTAAACTTGTCCAGCCAAGCCCAACACGTAGTAGAAGAGTCCCAAAGACATCACTGCTTGAATCACAGCCAATGCTACAAGTCTAGGGTACCCAAAATTTCTGTTTGAAAAACCATGCAGAAAATCACACGCTTTATATGAAACTTCAAGCTGTTGGGTTACTCAGTCTCTAGTTTTACAATCCTCACCTGGGTATTTAATCTGTAAAGGAAATCTATTCTCAACAAAACTTATGCAGTTTCTCATTTGTTTTTGCAGTACTGTAAAATTTGAGTTTCACTTTTGTAAGTTTTATAGCATTTTAGATTATATTTGCATAAGATATTTACAAGAAAAAATAATAAAACGAGTAAAGATTAGAGATGGTACCTCACTATAACCTCTGAGAAGTAGCCACCTCCAACACGACCAAGGAAGTTGGATATGCTGATAACTGACACATAGACATTCACATTGTTGTCTCCCAATGATTGGCAAATCTGACCCATGTTATTTATGATTGTCAAGCCTGACCCAGCGCCCATGACTAGAGAGAAAAACATGATCCAGAAATCAGCCTTAGCCATTGCTTGTGACAGGGTGAAATCCTCTCCTCTATGGGGCCCATTTTTTCGCTTGATTTTCCTCACAGCTTTGGCAAGAGCTTCCCAAAGCCTAGCTTGAATCTGAAACATGTCCCTTGGCCCTTCTGACAAAGGAAGCACCTCCAGCTTCGGAGGAATATTCTTCTCATTTTCAACATGTGTGGCTACTTTGGTAGATCTATTAGTACTACTACTCTCCCCAACCACGTTCTTACACTTAGATGCTTCTAGCATTGGTGGTTCCAAGAGGGCTTCTTGGTCAGGACTCTGGGGTCCAGAGAAGAAAACCAACAGAATGGGAACAATGATTGGAAGCAATATGAGAATGATCAAAATGACGGCCAACAATGAGATGGTGCTTTGGTCCAAATCAAGCGTGTTTTCTAGCAACAAAACTCCCATCAAGTAAGCAGCCAAGAGAAGGCAAATGCTGTAGATGAACATGAAACCTGACCCATCAGAAGCTGTAGATTGTTTATAACTCTGAACGGGTCTGATGATGAACATGAGGGTTAACGAAACCATTGCGGGTCCAACTGCTATGATGAAAATGAGAGAGGCTTGGTCAGGGAGTTTCATAATGGCTATGATTTGAGTCCAAATTGCACCGCTTAGGCCAACGAAGCCCTTCAAAATCCCCACCACGGGGCCTCTGCTCTCGGGGAAACTTTGCACGCTGGAAACGAGGGCAGCAGTGTTGTAATATGTTGACCCGTTTTGCCCCACAAAGATTAGAATGCATAGCTGCAAATTACCACCTCGTTAACACGTAGTTTTTACCGGCATGAATTCGGTTGAAGTTTCTCCTAGTGTGAGAATAACCACAACAACTACACTTGGTCCCACATTGAATAGACTAACAAATCTGAGGCGGTATTTTTTTTCTTTTTCTTTTCTGAGGAAAGGCCTTCGTCGTGTCTTGTCATTTCTTTCTACTTAAAGATCTTTTAAAAAATTTAAGGTATGTTAATTATATATAAAATATGTTATATTATATATTTTAATAAAAATAAGTTTATTTTTATTTATTTTAAATATAACTATTATTTAATAAAATAGATTGGTTTAAAAAACCATGAGAATAACTTATATCCATTTAAATTACAGTCTAAATATATTAAAAATAACTAATTTCAATTTAAACACTAGTTTTTTCTCTCTTCTAACTTTGCCCATTTTACTTACTGTTGAAATGAATTTATTTGATCAAACCAATTTTATTCATGCTAAACATTAACCATATGTGCATTTAACTGTAGTAAATTTATGCACAGTTTAAGATTTCTATACATATATAAGAAAAACAATAGACAATAAATATATTGTCCTTTTCTTAATATTTCACACTCTCACGGGAACATTAAATATATTCATTAAATAATTAATAAGAAGGTAAATGAAAAAAAAAACAATACATAAGAACATCTCTTATTTTCGTAATCAATCTCATAAATAATATAAATTTAAAAAATTTCATAAAATATTTATTAATTAGATCTAGATATATAATTTTTCTTTTTCTTTTTCTTTTTTTCTCTGTGTGATTCACTCTCTTTTTTTCATTTTTCTTTTTTATCTTATATTTATTTTTCTTTTCTTTCACTTATTTTTTTAATTAAAACTACTGAAATGAAATTTAATAAGTAAATTCTTTACAAGAAACTAAAAAAAATAACTAATTATTTAAAATTATGATGAAAATAAATAATTTTATTTATTATAAATAAATAATTTAAATTTATTTACCATAATAAAATAATTATTCATCTAATTATATTGAATTATGATACTTAATCTTATTAGATAATTTTAAAAAAATATTAATAAAGTTACTTTAAAATAAATATTTATTTTTTTCTTAATAATTATAATATTATAATAATAATAATAATAATAATAATAATAATTATAGTACCTCATATTTATTATATAAAAAATTTTAAGTATAATATATTAAATTATAATATTTTTATTTAAATATTTTTATTTTTCACAAAAAATAAAATATTTATTTTATTAAATTTTAAAATATTATTTTTAATTAGAATAATAAGATGGGGTAAGAGAATAATAAGAAAAAGGCAAAGGAAAGGAAAAAGAAATCCACCTAAATGAATAATGATGATTGAAAAAGAAAAAAAAATGACGTAAATGAAAAAAATAAAATAATAATTGTATTATATATAACAAATTAAATTTTATATATGAATATTATATATGTTTAATTGGATAAATAAATTTATAAATATTTTATTTGAGTAATTAAAAAATATATATATATATATATATATATATATATATATATATTATTTACGAAGTTATTCGCTATTTTAAAACAAGTTTAAAAAGCATATGACTTGGATGAAGGTAATATATTTTAATTTATCTTTTACGTTTTTTTTTTTACATTTGAAAGTTTAAGGTAAAAGTAAATGAGTTTCTCCAATAAAATTACCGAAAAAGAAAAAGAAAAAAATTAAATAGATTATTTTATAGACTTAAATTAGATTATCCACAAATTTAAAATGAAATGTTAGAAAATATAGTAATGTTGTTTTTACAAACTAATTTTGAGACTTCCCGAAAGATACTTATTAAAACTTCATATTATGTAACACATGAAACCTGCCAAAATGTTGTAGCGGTAATTCTTAACATTAAAGAATGAAAACCTTTCTTCCAATTTAAATATCTATTTAACAACTTATTTTAATATAATAATAATAAAAAAAATAAACTCAATAAATAAAAAATAAGTTATAAAAATAAATATTACCTTCATCCTCAAAATTTAGCTTTTACATTATTAAGTTTTTCAATTTTACGTCTTAATCTTTTACTATATTATACAAAGTAAAAGAAAGGGTGCAAAACAAAAGTCTAAGTAGTCATTGGTAAACCTTAACTAGTTAATTTTGTTCCCCTCTCAACTCTTTGTTATGATGGTCCTATGGAGGTACAATTGAAACAACATCATCTAACATCAGAGTGAAAAGAGGAAGGAATCCTACATCTGGAAAACAGCACAGAACATAATGCAAAAATCTGATTCAAACTGGTTTTGATGAATATGTGTGAGAGAGAGAAAGCAGAGGAAAGTTTAAGAGAATGTTTGTTTGTGTGTTTGATTGATTATGTGAGTATGGAATTAATTGAACATACCTGCCAGAAAGGCAGAGACCGAATGCGGTGCGTGACGAGAAGCCAAACAAGGCCATAACCGAGAACATTTTGGAAGATCCCAACGAGAAAGAGAGCCCAAATGGGGGAAAACAGGCTGATTTTGCCAGCAAGAAGACCAACGTTGTCACCCAAATCCTTGGCCACGCTCAACAACGCCACCTGCTTCTGGTTGAAACCCATGCTGCTCTTTATCACCGGCGATATGCTCCCGAACATGTAAGAGGTGCCTGCGAATGCCATGTCCCACATCGCGCACACAAACACCACCCATCTGTGCCCCGCGAACCCCTTCACTTTCTCATTCACTGCTACCATTTTCTTTCAGATTTTCAAACCCTCCCCTCACTCAGATTTTTAACATATATGTATAGGAGATTTTTTGCTTTTTTGTTTTTGTTTTTTTCAACTTAGTTTTTATTTTTCAAAAATTAATTAATTAATTTCAAATTTTTTAAAAATATAAAAAATTGGAAACATACTTTTTCTCTGAATTTGTATAGGTCACATGACACTCACGTGCTGTCCCCACGTTTGAAAATGTTGTGCAATCTAGGTTATGTATTTATTTACACACTTTAATGCTATCGTAAAGGGAAAAGGAATGTGAAGCAAAAACTTTTTTTTTCTTTCTAATTAAGGCTTATTTGTATTTTTATTTTTATTTAAAATGCGTGTCATCTTGATTTTTATAATTTTTTTAATTAATTAAATTGCTTTTTATTAAAATAATTTAAGTTTCTATTTTTCATCTAAATATTTTGACTTGTTAAAATATGCAATGGTTTAAAAGTTTACAAAATATAAATTCTAAGTGTGAGATGTTAAGACCTGAAAAGATTATTTTATAGTTTTTAAAATTAGATTGCTGAGTTTTTTAAGTGATTTTTTTTAATGACTATACACTATTAATTAAGAGGAACAAAGTGGATTAAGTTGACAAATTTGAATAAGTATTTGTTACTAAATAACCAAAATTTAGATGCTAACTTTTCTTATAATTAAATGAACTCAGTAATCTACCTTTTTCATTTATAATTATTTTGTAAGCTATCATTATAGTGGTAATTGTATGTAAATCTTAAAATATCCTTTTGACCTAAAGTCAAAAAAATAAATAAGAATTAGTATAAAATTTAAACAGACAAGTTAATAAGTTAAACTTTTTAATGGAAAAAAAATTACATTAGTGTAATAATGACAACCAAAATTAAAGATTAATAAAATATAAGTTGAGTCAAATTATGTTTGATCTAATTTGTCGTTCAAATTACTTTTTAAGAATTTAATTTGTCTTGTAATTAAATAAATTAAGTTTTATTTGTACGTGTTTTAAAAGGGAGTTTAAAAGGAAAAAATATAAATAATTTTTTTTATGTAAATGAAAATTAGATTATATAAATTAATTTGTTTAAATCATTTCATAAACTTATTCATAATTTTATTTACAAATTAATTTGAAGTTATAAATAAATTAATTTTACCTTTTTAATATTTATAAGTTTGTTGAATTATATGTACCAGTATATATAATCTTTTATTTAATTGATCATTAAGTTGAATTTTGCACATTCTGAGTTATAATGTAATTTTTTTTACAAGCAAATATTTTAGAGTTATTGTTGATAGAATTTCTAAAGTAATTATCATAAAAATTAAAAAGTAATTTTTTTAATGATATTCTTACAAGAAAATAAAATAATAAATGAAGAATACAAATATGTCCGTTTGCACAATATGATATTTTGATGAGACTCGCATATCAGTCTATTAGATAATAAATTATATATGTACTATAATGTCATTTTAAATATAAGAATGTGAGTTTCTTTTACTTAAAATTAATTATATATATTATTTTATATATTGTTATTGTATTAATATATATATATATATATATATATATATATATTTAAAAAGATTTATAAAAAATATTTTTATTTAATGTGAGTATAAAGTAAGAGTGGTTTAGTGTGGGGTAAAGTTTGAAACTTTAGTTAAAAATAGTTACAATTAGAAAATCTTAATCATTTTAATTTTATTATCATAAAATTGTCATCTCTAATTTCTCTCTAACTTTCCCATTTTGTTTCTCATTTTTTTTCTAAATCCAAATACGTCTTAATACTTTTGGCGAGAACATTTCTAATTGACCATAGTTTCTAATAGAGTAAGTTTTTCTTTGCTCATTTTTAGAGTATTTACATGTACAATTGAGCATCTGGGCAGGGTGCATGTGAGTTTTGTGAGAAAAAAAATGAATATTGACTAGTTTAAAATATTATGATATGTTTGATTTTATTAATTGGATTTTTTTGTGAGCAAACTTCCTATAAGTTGATGAGCTTTTGAAGTTTTTGAAATCGGAGACTCTGAAATTAAGATTAAGGAAACTAATAAATCTTTACTTTTTCTGGACTATAATAATGATTTTGTTACATTATTTGATTTGTAGGAACTTAATTGTTAATATTGTTGATATTTGAATGTGATTTGATGAGTTGAATTAGATTAATGATGTATAGAAATACGTGTATGAAATGTTGGGGTAGGATAACTATATTTGGGTCATATATAACATGTTTGCGGAAGAAATGATGTAATAGAATCTCATATGATTTTGATTAGTGTTTGAAAACTAGTTTGAGGGATATTTTTGCAAGTATGATTTATGCATAGTCCGCTTAAGCAAAATGTGCAGTAGAAGTAGGAGCTTCTTTTGGGTTTATTTTTGCTCAAGTGAAAAATTTGCAATGAAATGATATTTGTCTTGAGTGTATTTCACTTAAGAGAAAGATGATTTTTACTCAAGCAAGAAATTTCAGCTCAAGCAAGAAATTTCGTCCAAGAGAAAATTCCCAAAAGTTTTTTGTTTGAATTTCTAAAAATCATAAAAATTAACTCCAAACTTCAAATTAAACAAACTATATCTAAAATTGAAGCCATGAATGTTGGCAAAATTTGGGTCATGTATATATATGATACATAATTTAAATGTGTTAGGACCATTATTTATTAAGCCAAATAATAAAGTGATCTGACTAAATTAAAGTTTTGGCTAAAGGCATATGTCATGAAAATAAAATTGTGTAGAGATCATAGAGTAATTTCTAATTTGATGAGGGGCCAAATTGGAAATATTAAAACTTAAGTAATTAACCTAATTCTGGTTATCTAAAGGGTCATGGTCCCCTTCTGAGAGCACACACACAGAACGTAAGTATCGGTCTCGTTCCTTTCTTTCTATCCCCATCAAGAGAGAAAATCAAGAGGGAAATACAGGTGCTCTTCAGGTGGAAGACCATAAGATCAATATAGTGCTCTACAAAGACATCATCGTTATGGCTAATTCAGTGTACGCTTTCGCATTCAGTTTACAAGCATGTTTATCGAGTATGAGATTATGTTTATGTTTGATCGTTAGAATCAAAATCGGGATTATTATTATTATTATTATTATTATTATTATTATTATTATTATTATTATTATTATTATTAATATTGTTTTTTCAACAATTGGTATCGAGCGCCCATATTTGATTCATGTATGCTTAATTTATAGAACCCTAATTATGAAAATTAGGATTAATTTTGTTTTAAACAATTCAAATTACCCAATTTTATGAACCCTAAGTGGAGGATAATCTCTAATTTTTGTGAACCCTAAAATTTAAATTTGGGGGTAACATCCCCAATCTGATTCTACTTGCTGATGGAACCGTGGAGGAAGCTATGAATTCTTCTTCTTCTTCATTTTTCCCTTTTGTTTCAGTTTAAATTTCAAGTTTTACTGAGAAAGAAACAATGTTTCAAATTTCAATCTTTCTTGTATTAGGTTCTCTGTTCTTTTTTGAATCTTTTGTTTTTATTTAATTTTATGGGTTTGGAATTGGGAGTGGTGTTTGGGGAGTTCCCAACACAGAGAGTATTAGGTAAATGGTGAATGTTTCCACATGTGTGGCTGTTATTATTTTATTGCCTCTATCCCCTAGGAATTTAAGGAAAATTTGATGTTAAATTAGGGTCTGAGTAATTACTGTTTAATTCTCTTTTAGGGTTTAGAGCAGTATGCTAAAGAGACTTAGAACTATCTCTGTTTCATCCCTAGTGTGATTTTAGGGAGATGTTCATCCTTTATGTATTGGTGGAAAATGATGCATTTTTTCATCCTTTGATTTATTCAAATGAGGTGTTCATCCCTAATGAGATTTTAGGGAGGTGTTCATCCTTAGTAGAATTCTAATGAGATGATTCTCTTTTGAATTAGTTTGCAAATATTAAATATTTGGTTTTGTTATATAAATAAAATATTCAATTTTTGGTAGTTTAATATTTTTTGTGAGCAAATTGAGTCAAGAAGTCACCAAAGTAACTTCTCTTGAATTGGGCAGCTCATGAAAAATATTGAATGTTAGTGTTTGTGTATATTCATGCGAGTATTAGTCGGCCCAAAGGAAGATTAATATTTGGCCGAATTGCATACACACTTGTAATGATAAACATGTGATAATTATAAGAATTTGCTTTGTCGATGATAAATCAATCCAAAGACTGGTTTGTTGTTGGACGTGTTTTATTGTCAATGTTTGATTATTACAACAAGATACCTCTAGCAGTTAATATTACTGTTCAAAGACTTGATATTGATGGTGCATTGGGTATCTTGAGATGGGTTAAACCACTATTCACTACAAGAAAAACACCAAATAGTGACCGAAAATTCGGTCACTAAATGTGCAAAATCGGTTACTAATTAAAATAGTGACCGAAATAGTGACCAACTGGAATCGGTCACTATTTCCTTGGTCACTGATTTTAGTGACTGAATCAGTGACCGATTATATATAACCAAATCGATCATCGAATCGGTCACTAAATCAATGAAAAAGTTAATCAATAACAAATTTAATTATTTTTATTTATTTACATTTTTATTATATCTATTATTTATTTTCCCTATCTCTTAATTATATTATATTTTGCTTATTTAAGTTTTTATTTATATTTATTTAGTTTAACTTATTATTAGGTGGTTTATTGTCATTATCATGGATTCGAACCCGGTACCTTAGAGTTGGAGGTCGAAACTCCAACCACCGAGCTACTAGGATCTTTTAATAATAACTTACAAATAAATTATATTTATATACAAATAAATGTATATCCGTATAAATATATAAATATAAAATCTATAAATAAAAATATATTTATATATTTTAATATATATTTAAATATTGATATATTTATATATTGATATATTTATATAGCATAATGTATATTAATATATGAGGGGATAATATTGATATATTGATATATTT